TTTATTTCTAGTCTGACGCGACACTTGAGCGCGTTTCGTAAAACTTATTACATTTTCAAAGACTTTAGTTTACAAACACACAACTGAAACCGAATAAAGCTTACACATCTTCGAGTTTATATCTACATTTGGGTGAGGTGGATGAGGTGAAAACAATCTTTCAACAATGGGTATTGAATGGGTATTAAATTCAAACACAAGACAGAACACGAAACAATGGGTATTGAATGGAAGTAATTGTAGAAAGCCTATTGTTCCATATTTTTTTATGCTTCTATATTGGAGCAGAGTCTTGAAGTGGGTAGAATATAGTTGTGCATTAATTGGCTGTTGATTGCTGGTGTTGACTTCTTGATGTGTTGTGCCTCGCATACGTCAAGCCGCCTGCTATCGCTGTATCTATCGATGATTTCTGTGTTGTTTGCTAAGATTTCTCTGGTGATGGTTTGTTAGTGGGAAGAGATTATATGTTCCTTAATGGAGCCCTGTTGCTTTTGCATCGTTAAACGCCTGGAAAGAGTTGTTGTTGTCTTGCCTATATACTGTTTTTTTTGAGGCTTACAGTCCCCAAGAGGGCATTTGAAGGCATAGACGACGTTGGTCTTTTTTAAAGCGTTCTGCTTTGTGTCTGGAGAGTTTCTCATGAGTAGGCTGGCCGTTTTTTTTTTTTTTTATAGTTAATCGTCAGTTGTATCCTCTGATTTTTGTCTGTAGGGATAACGTTTCTATTAACAATATCTTTCAGGACCCTTTCCTCCGTTTTATGAGCTGAGGAAAAGAAGTTCCTGTAAAATAGTCTAATAGGGGCTATAAGAGTTGTGTTAGTTAGTTTGTGTTAGTGTTCTGAAGAGACAACTAACACAACACCTATACCCCCTATTAGACTATTTTACAGGAACTTCTTTTCCACAGCTCATAAAACGGAGGAAAGGGTCCTGAAAGATATTGTCACTGGTGGTGACTGTGGTTAGACAGGAGGGGTGAGTCTGGGTAGACAGGAGGGGTGACTGTGGGTAGACAGGAGGGGTGACAGTGGGTAGACAGGAAGGGTGACTGTGGGTAGACATTAAGGGTGAATGTGGGTAGACAGGAAGGGTGACTGTGGGTAGACATTAAGGGTGACTGTGGGTAGACAGGAAGGGTGACTGTGGGTAGACATTAAGGGTGACTGTGGGTAGACAGGAAGGGTGACTGTGGGTAGACAGGAAGGGTGACTGTGGGTAGACATTAAGGGTGAATGTGGGTAGACAGGAAGAGTGACTGTGGGTAGACAGGAGGGGCGACAGTGGGTAGACATGAAGGGTGACTGTGGGTAGACAGGAAGAGTGACTGTGGGTAGACAGGAAGAGTGACTGTGGGTAGACAGGAGGGGTGACAGTGGGTAGACATGAAGGGTGACTGTGGGTAGACAGGAAGAGTGACTGTGGGTAGACAGGAAGAGTGACTGTGGGTAGACAGGAAGAGTGACTGTGGGTAGACAGGAAGAGTGACTGTGGGTAGACTAGAGGGGTGACTGTGGGTAGACAGGAAGGGTGACTGTGGGTAGACTGGAAGAGTGACTGTGGGTAGACAGGAAGAGTGACTGTGGGTAGACAGGAAGGGTGACTGTGGGTAGACAGAAAGAGTGACTGTGGGTAGACAGGAAGGGTGACTGTGGGTAGACAGGAAGAGTGACTGTGGGTAGACAGGAAGAGTGACTGTGGGTAGACAGGAGGGGTGACAGTGGGTAGACAGGAAGAGTGACTGTGGGTAGACAGGAAGGGTGACTGTTGATAGACAGGAAGGGTGACTGTGGGTAGACATTAAGGGTGACTGTGGGTAGACATTAAGGGTGACTGTGGGTAGACATTAAGGGTGACTGTGGGTAGACAGGAAGGGTGACTGTTGATAGACAGGAAGGGTGACTGTGGGTAGACATTAAGGGTGACTGTGGGTAGACATTAAGGGTGACTGTGGGTAGACATTAAGGGTGACTGTGGGTAGACATTAAGAGTGACAGTGGGTAAACAGGAAGAGTGACTGTGGGTAGACATTAAGGGTGACTGTGGGTAGACATTAAGAGTGACAGTGGGTAGACATTAAGAGTGACAGGAAGACATTAAGGGTGACTGTGGGTAGACATTAAGAGTGACAGTGGGTAGACATTAAGAGTGACAGGAAGAGTGACTGTGGGTAGACATTAAGGGTGACTGTGGGTAGACATTAAGAGTGACAGTGGGTAGACAGGAAGAGTGACTGTGGGTAGACAGGAAGGGTGACTGTTGATAGACAGGAAGGGTGACTGTGGGTAGACATTAAGGGTGACTGTGGGTAGACATTAAGGGTGACTGTGGGTAGACATTAAGGGTGACTGTGGGTAGACAGGAAGGGTGACTGTTGATAGACAGGAAGGGTGACTGTGGGTAGACATTAAGGGTGACTGTGGGTAGACATTAAGGGTGACTGTGGGTAGACATTAAGGGTGACTGTGGGTAGACATTAAGAGTGACAGTGGGTAAACAGGAAGAGTGACTGTGGGTAGACATTAAGGGTGACTGTGGGTAGACATTAAGAGTGACAGTGGGTAGACAGGAAGAGTGACTGTGGGTAGACATTAAGAGTGACTGTGGGTAGACAGGAAGAGTGACTGTGGGTAGACATTAAGAGTGACTGTGGGTAGACAGGAAGAGTGACTGTGGGTAGACAGGAAGAGTGACTGTGGGCAGGTAATATTTATTTTCTACCACAGACGTGGCCACACATTTACAATGCTAACCATCATATATACATTTTCTTCTGTCCTCCATGGACAGGGTTATAGATGTGTTAAACATATAGTTCAAGGGTTTATTGAACAATCAACCACAGAAGGTGATTCGGTGCTTTTAAAATGCTAAGCTAACCTACATACATAAATACATAGATACATATATTTACGTATGCCATACATAAAGTGTTCGATGTGTCTTTTACGTAGTGTCATTAATGTGCATTTACAAAGGAGAAATGTAATTATGATCAACTTCCATATATACTTTATATACATACACACACATATACATTCATATACATATATACATTCATATATAAACACACATGCATTCACATACATTTGTGTCTTTTACTCTGACAGAATGAGATAGCTGATAGAGAAACTAGTGTGCAATTAAGCACTTAATCACTGAAGGTGATGAAGGTGCTTTTACAAGCTCAGGTTATATAGTTACATCGCATACATACATTGTATAATTGATACATTACATGGTCAATCTAGGGTACAAGTCCAATATATCATCAAGTGTTCCAGTATTCATATAGTAGTTACACAGTTCAGCATACCTTAGCCCAGGAGGGCGAAAGTCAGTCAATATGGGACATTCTACAATATAATGTTCAAGAGTGCAAGTTTTATTTGATACATTGTGTACTCGACATTTGGGTTTTGAGAAAGCTGCCAGATACGTCTATATCCCAGGCGTATTCTGGCCACTATAACATCACATTGCCGGGTTCTTGTTCTATTAGTCCCATATGTGAATGTCTCCTCACGATATTTATCATAATAGGCGGGTGACTGAGGTAGACAGGAGGATGACTGTGGTAGACAGGAGGATGACTGTGGTAGACAGGAGGATGACTGTGGTAGACAGGAGGGATGACGGAGGTAGACAGGAGGGATGACTGTGGTAGACAGGAGGGATGACGGAGGTAGACAGGAGGGATGACTGTGGTAGACAGGAGGGATGACGGAGGTAGACAGGAAAGTGACTGAGGTAGACAGGAGGGATGACGGAGGTAGACAGGAGGGATGACGGAGGTAGACAGGAGGGTGACTGTGGTAGACAGGAGGGATGACGGAGGTAGACAGGAGGGGTGACTGTGGTAGACAGGAGGGATGACGGAGGTAGACAGGAGGGGTGACTATGTGTAGACAGGAGGGATGACGGAGGTAGACAGGAGGGGTGACTGTGGTAGACAGGAGGGATGACGGAGGTAGACAGGAGGGGTGACTGTGGTAGACAGGAGGGATGACGGAGGTAGACAGGAGGGATGACGGAGGTAGACAGGAGGGTGACTGTGGTAGACAGGAGGGATGACGGAGGTAGACAGGAGGGATGACGGAGGTAGACAGGAGGGTGACTGTGGTAGACAGGAGGGATGACGGAGGTAGACAGGAGGGATGACGGAGGTAGACAGGAGGGGTGACTGTGGTAGACAGGAGGGATGACGGAGGTAGACAGGAGGGATGACGGAGGTAGACAGGAGGGTGACTGTGGTAGACAGGAGGGATGACGGAGGTAGACAGGAGGGATGACGGAGGTAGACAGGAGGGGTGACTGTGTGTAGACAGGAGGGATGACGGAGGTAGACAGGAGGGGTGACTGTGGTAGACAGGAGGGATGACGGAGGTAGACAGGAGGGATGACGGAGGTAGACAGGAGGGTGACTGAGGGGTAGACAGGAGGGATGACGGAGGTAGACAGGAGGGATGACGGAGGTAGACAGGAGGGATGACTGAGGTAGACAGGAGGGTGACTGAGGGGTAGACAGGAGGGATGACGGAGGTAGACAGGAGGGATGACGGAGGTAGACAGGAGGGATGACGGAGGTAGACAGGAGGGATGACGGAGGTAGACAGGAGGGATGACGGAGGTAGACAGGAGGGATGACTGAGGTAGACAGGAGGGTGACTGAGGGGTAGACAGGAGGGATGACGGAGGTAGACAGGAGGGATGACGGAGGTAGACAGGAGGGATGACGGAGGTAGACAGGAGGGATGACGGAGGTAGACAGGAGGGATGACGGAGGTAGACAGGAGGGATGACTGAGGTAGACAGGCGGGATGACTGAGGTAGACAGGCGGGATGACAGAGGTAGACAGGCGGGATGACAGAGGTAGACAGGCGGGGTGACTGCAGTAACCCGAGGCGAGGGATTGTGGTGCTGGTGTGACCAGTCCTGGAGCCAGCGGGCGGAACACCCCGTACATAAGCCGGTGGTGGAGGCGGAGGAGTGCCACACAGCCTTCACCACCCACGCCCACACCCCCACCGCCGCCCCTCGCTGGCACGACGCCACCCACCAGGTGAGGCCCAACAACTCCCACCAACCATCGTCCTCACACACAGTGGGAACTACGACGGGCGAACACCTAGTGTCTGACAAGCTGACGTGGGCGTAGCAACTTCGTACACCAAAATAGTTTCTCAGACTTAGTTGAGTAAGTACTTACTAAGTACTGTTAGCCAGAAAACAGTTTTATCTCGATAGACCTACAAAGTGTACATTGAAGAGTTGGTGGTAAGTGGGGTCGTGTGTGTGTGTGTGTGTGTGCAGGTGTGGAAGCTGTTCAAACACTCCAATACAGTTTCAACATTCCAATTTAATCCCAAGGCCTATGTAGGCCTAAGCTGTTGAGACAGGAGGAAGGTGTGCCAGGGAGGGACAGGCAGTGCCAGGGAGTGCCAGGGTAGTTCTGCTAAGATTTAGTCTTCAGCTTAAAGTCTTCACCTGTACAACAGTCATTAGTTAATCCCTTTCGCGCCGGAAGGCATGAGCGTGCGTCTGATATTTTTCTCTCGTGTCCGAGCCGCGTTCTATTTGTTACAAATCTAAATGTTATCCGATCAGTCTGGGACCGGGTTCAAAATGCGCGCCTTTAGACTGCGCCCAATTTGATACCATAATGACGACGTAGCCTGACAACTGAGGTCAGAACAATTTGATACCATAATGACGACGTAGCCTGACAACTGAGGTCAGAACAATTTGATACCATAATGACGACGTAGCCTGACAACTGAGGTCAGAACAATTTGATACCATAATGACGACGTAGCCTGACAACTGAGGTCAGAACATTGGAAAGATATAAATACTCTTGTGATGATGAGCGTCCAAAATTAAAATATGTTAAAATTCCATTTATTGTTCTATTATTATAGGACTAGGTTTAAAAATACGCGCCGTTATATTGCGAACAATTTGATACCAAAATGAAAGACGTAACACGAACATTGATGTTATCAAACTGAACGAGTATATACATTAGGTTGCAGGTGTGGCAACTGGTGCTGGCTCACTGGTAACGGTTGGCTGACTTAGGCTTTGCTGTGAGGGGGTCGCGCCGAACTTTTGGACCTTATATGCATACATCCCTGTAGGGAATTCTATTGCGAACACATTGATATCAAAACGAATGACGTAGCACGAGAATTAAGGTGACAACACTGAAACGAGCACACACATTTCAGTGTCGCCGGCACGCTTCCCCCGTGCGGGCGTCAGGAGCATTTTGTGAAGTCTGCGGCGGCTCCGAGCGGGAAAATACTAAACGTTCAAGACAAAACTATACTTTCCAAAAACTGAAAACACCGTTCTTAGGCCGATCAATGGACAAAATTATGTAAAATATGTATTATATATATATATATATATATATATATATATATATATATATATATATATATATATATATATATATATATATATATATATATATATATATATATATATATATATATATATATATATATATATATATGCATGGCATTTCGGGCGGGTCCTTAATCCTAATTTTCCCCGCAATACGACCCGCCAAATCGTTTAACAACCCATTAACTGTTGAGTGAACAGAGGCTAGAGTTAAGGATTGACGCCCAGTCAATCCTTCCCTAATAGGATACGAACCCAGGCTAAAGCGCTTGCGAAGCGCCAGACGAGTGTATTACCACTGCGCCACGGGGACTGAACACAGTCCACAGTCAGTCTCGGTGCATATAAACTGGGAAGCGGAATACATTATAATTTATTCATATAAACCTATTGCAGCTTCTTGAATGTATTCAAAGTCGACTTGCAATTATAAACTGCGAACATGGAACAAAATGTATTTATATTTTTAAGACTTTTCTCAAGTTTTCATTTGGATACTTTATGTATATTGTTGTTTCCACTTTATCTATCGACCAGGTCGACCAGGTGGACCAGGTGGACCAGGTGGACCAGGTGGACCAGGTGGACCAGGTGGACCAGGTGGACCAGGTCGACCAGGTCGACCAGGTGGACCAGGTGGACCAGGTGAACCAGGTGGACCAGGTGGACCAGGTGAACCAGGTGGACCAGGTGGACCAGGTGGACCAGGTCGACCAGGTCGACCAGGTGGACCAGGTGGACCAGGTCGACCAGGTGGACCAGGTGGACCAGGTGGACCAGGTGGACCAGGTCGACCAGGTGGACCAGGTGGACCAGGTGGACCAGGTGGACCAGGTGGACCAGGTGGACCAGGTGGACCAGGTGGACCAGGTGGACCAGGTCGACCAGGTCGACCAGGTGGACCCATGACCTGCGCCACAGTCACCTCTACGTCCTCCTAAACGGCTGGTCATTAACGCTCACACTAATCATTACTACCCTCAGCCTTGTACTATTGTTAGTTAAATGAGGAACTGTAATTGTTTGTCAGTTTTCGTTAATACTTATATTACCCAATGAGAAACTGATCTATCGTTTACAAGGGCAATACGGGTAGACGCTGTTAGTACAGTGTAGGCCAAGTCATGTGGGAATAATTGGAAATGACATAGCAGACGAAGCTGCAAAACTTGCAACTAAGAGGAGAAATGTAGACATTTACATACCACAGAGTCTATCACAGATTGAGAAAGTAATTAGAAACAGAACAATGCAGCTGATGTACAGTGACCACAACACAGCAGTTGCAACATCAGGATCTGCGGGTTGGTACAAGAATTCAACCAACTACGAACCACTTAGTTTGATGAAAGGGAGCAGTAGAACAACAGAAGTACACTTACATCGCATCAGGCTTGGATACCCATGTGCATGGGAAATAGGCTTACAGGTTCCGGAAGATGAGAGGAAATGTCAGCACTGTGGAGAAATGTCCGACAGACCACTGGAACATTATCTAACACAGTGCACGGTTACACCCACAACAGACCACTGGAACATTATCTAACACAGTGCACAGTTACACACACAACAGACCACTAGAACATTATTTAACACCGTGCACAGTTACACACACAACAGACCACTGGAACATTATCTAACATAGTGCACAGTTACAAACCCGATAAGATTTCAACTTAGATTCAACAGAGCAGAAGTTGTTAAACACATGGGATAAAATCTTACTGAAGCGACCATACGAGTCATAAATACTCATACTCCGCCCAAGTAAAACAGAAACAAGCAACACTTAGTGGGCCAGCCAGAGGCTTAGGGCCCGCACAGTGGGCCAGCCAGAGGCTTAGGGCCCGCACAGTGGGCCAGCCAGAGGCTTAGGGCCCGCGCAGTGGGCCAGCCAGAGGCTTAGGGCCCGCACAGTGGGCCAGCCAGAGGCTTAGTGCCCGCACAGTGGGCCAGCCAGAGGCTTAGGGCCCGTACAGTGGGCCAGCCAGAGGCTTAGGGCCCGCACAGTGGGCCAGCCAGAGGCTTAGGGCTCGCGCAGTGGGCCAGCCAGAGGCTTAGGGCCCGTACAGTGGGCCAGCCAGAGGCTTAGGGCTCGCGCAGTGGGCCAGCCAGAGGCTTAGGGCCCGTACAGTGGGCCAGCCAGAGGCTTAGGGCCCGCGCAGTGGGCCAGCCAGAGGCTTAGGCCCCGCGCAGTGGGCCAGCCAGAGGCTTAGGCCCCGCTCTGTGGGCCAGCCAGAGGCTTAGGGCCCGCTCTGTGGGCCAGCCAGAGGCTTAGGGCCCGCGCAGTGGGCCAGCCAGAGGCTTAGGGCCCGCGCAGTGGGCCAGCCAGAGGCTTAGGGCCCGCGCAGTGGGCCAGCCAGAGGCTTAGTGCCCGCTCTGTGGGCCAGCCAGAGGCTTAGGGCCCGCTCTGTGGGCCAGCCAGAGGCTTAGGGCCCGCGCAGTGGGCCAGCCAGAGGCTTAGGGCCCGCTCTGTGGGCCAGCCAGAGGCTTAGGGCCCGCGCAGTGGGCCAGCCAGAGGCTTAGGGCCCGCTCTGTGGGCCAGCCAGAGGCTTAGGGCCCGCGCAGTGGGCCAGCCAGAGGCTTAGGGCCCGCTCTGTGGGCCAGCCAGAGGCTTAGGGCCCGCGCAGTGGGCCAGCCAGAGGCTTAGGGCCCGCTCTGTGGGCCAGCCAGAGGCTTAGGGCCCGCGCAGTGGGCCAGCCAGAGGCTTAGGGCCCGCGCAGTGGGCCAGCCAGAGGCTTAGGGCCCGCTCTGTGGGCCAGCCAGAGGCTTAGGGCCCGCGCAGTGGGCCAGCCAGAGGCTTAGGGCCCGCGCAGTGGGCCAGCCAGAGGCTTAGGGCCCGCGCAGGAATATCCCTGCGGTAAAAAAGTACAGTTTACTAAACAATCATCAACACTGTATTTCCACGCAACATACAACGAACTGATGATATCTTCCCTCGGTGTGACTGCTCAATATCTTCCCTCGGTGTGACTGCTCAATATCTTCCCTCGGTGTGACTGCTCAATATCTTCCCTCGGTGTGACTGCTCAATATCTTCCCTCGGTGTGACTGCTCAATATCTTCCCTCGGTGTGACTGCTCAATATCTTCCCTCGGTGTGACTGCTCAATATCTTCCCTCGGTGTGACTGCTCAATATCTTCCCTCGGTGTGACTGCTCAATATCTTCCCTCGGTGTGACTGCTCAATATCTTCCCTCGGTGTGACTGCTCAATATCTTCCCTCGGTGTGACTGCTCAATATCTTCCCTCGGTGTGACTGCTCAATATCTTCCCTCGGTGTGACTGCTCAATATCTTCCCTCGGTGTGACTGCTCAATATCTTCCCTCGGTGTGACTGCTCAATATCTTCCCTCGGTGTGACTGCTCAATATCTTCCCTCGGTGTGACTGCTCAATATCTTCCCTCGGTGTGACTGCTCAATATCTTCCCTCGGTGTGACTGCTCAATATCTTCCCTCGGTGTGACTGCTCAATATCTTCCCTCGGTGTGACTGCTCAATATCTTCCCTCGGTGTGACTGCTCAATATCTTCCCTCGGTGTGACTGCTCAATATCTTCCCTCGGTGTGACTGCTCAATATCTTCCCTCGGTGTGACTGCTCAATATCTTCCCTCGGTGTGACTGCTCAATATCTTCCCTCGGTGTGACTGCTCAATATCTTCCCTCGGTGTGACTGCTCAATATCTTCCCTCGGTGTGACTGCTCAATATCTTCCCTCGGTGTGACTGCTCAATATCTTCCCTCGGTGTGACTGCTCAATATCTTCCCTCGGTGTGACTGCTCAATATCTTCCCTCGGTGTGACTGCTCAATATCTTCCCTCGGTGTGACTGCTCAATATCTTCCCTCGGTGTGACTGCTCAATATCTTCCCTCGGTGTGACTGCTCAATATCTTCCCTCGGTGTGACTGCTCAATATCTTCCCTCGGTGTGACTGCTCAATATCTTCCCTCGGTGTGACTGCTCAATATCTTCCCTCGGTGTGACTGCTCAATATCTTCCCTCGGTGTGACTGCTCAATATCTTCCCTCGGTGTGACTGCTCAATATCTTCCCTCGGTGTGACTGCTCAATATCTTCCCTCGGTGTGACTGCTCAATATCTTCCCTCGGTGTGACTGCTCAATATCTTCCCTCGGTGTGACTGCTCAATATCTTCCCTCGGTGTGACTGCTCAATATCTTCCCTCGGTGTGACTGCTCAATATCTTCCCTCGGTGTGACTGCTCAATATCTTCCCTCGGTGTGACTGCTCAATATCTTCCCTCGGTGTGACTGCTCAATATCTTCCCTCGGTGTGACTGCTCAATATCTTCCCTCGGTGTGACTGCTCAATATTATATATTTTAACTGGTATTAAGTTTTTGATGAGGCTTGAAACACATTCTCATTCTAAGATGGTGCAAGCTGCGACCACAACTTGAGGATGGGTGTGTTGACAGCTTCAAGATGGAAGGAGGTTTGACAGTTGGTTTGAGCGGTGGTTGTAAGACATTGACTTTCTTGTGTTGCGTGAGCCTCACCTGACTCACGAGTCTTCACCCACTGCAGGATGCACCCGCTCAGCAGCAAGTCCAGGGAGCAGCAGCAACAGCAGCAAATGCCGCCGCCCGTCCCTCCTTTCTCACGCCCACGGCCCTCATACCCGCCCATACATGTGAGTATATCCACCCACGACCCTCATACCCGCCCATACATGTGAGTATACCCGCCCACGACCCTCAAACCCACCCATACATGTGAGTATACCCGCCCACGACCCTCATACCCACTCATACATGTGAGTATACCCGCCCACGACCCTCATACCCGCCCATACATGTGAGTATACCCGCCCACGACTCTCATACCCGCCCATACATGTGAGTATATCCACCCACGACCCTCATACCCGCCCATACATGTGAGTATACCCGCCCACGACCCTCATACCCACCCATACATGTGAGTATATCCACCCACGACCCTCAAACCCGCCCATACATGTGAGTATACCCGCCCACGACCCTCATACCCGCCCATACATGTGAGTATACCCACCTACGACCCTCATACCCGCACATACATGTAGGTATACCCGCCCACGACCCGCATACCCGCCCATACATGTGAGTATACCCGCCCACGACCCTCATACCCACCCATACATGTGAGTATACCCGCCCACGATTCTCATACCCGCCCATACATGCGAATATATCCACCCATGACCCTCATACCCGTACATACATGTGAGTATACCCACCCACGACCCTCATACCCGCCCATACATGTGAGTATACCCGCCGATACATGTGAGTATACCCACCCACGACTCTCATACCCACCCTTACATGTGAGTATACCCGTCCATGATCCTCATACCCACCCATACATGTGAGTATACCCGCCCACGATCTTCATACCCGCCCATACATGTGAGTATACCCGCCCATATATGTGAATATACCCGCCTATGACCCTTATACCCGCCCATATATGTGAGTATACCCACCCACGACCCTCGTACCCACCCATATATGTGAGTATACACCCCCACGACCCTCATACCCGCCCATACATATATGAGTTCTCTTCATTGAGAAGGAGTGCTGGCAGCCCACCCACTGTCATGCCAGCAGGATAACCTTGCTCTCTTCGCGCGCTGTGTCAAGCACTCTCCTGCACACTCTCAGAGCAACATCCCTTTCACTGTAGTCTACCTTTATTATAGTCCCCCCTTCGGTGGTAGGTCCCCCCTTCGGTGGTAGGTCCCCCCTTCGGTGGTAGGTCCCCCCTTCGGTGGTAGGTCCCCCCTTCGGTGGTAGGTCCCCCCTTCGGTGGTAGGTCCCCCCTTCGGTGGTAGGTCCCCCCTTCGGTGGTAGGTCCCCCCCTTCGGTGGTAGGTCCCCCCTTCGGTGGTAGGTCCCCCCTTCGGTGGTAGGTCCCCCCTTCGGTGGTAGGTCCCCCCTTCGGTGGTAGGTCCCCCCTTCGGTGGTAGGTCCCCCCTTCGGTGGTAGGTCCCCCCTTCGGTGGTCCGTCCCCCCCTCCGGTGGTAGTTCCCCCCTTCCGTTGTAGGTCCCCCCTTCGGTGGTAGGTGCCCCCTTCGGTGGTAGGTCCCCCCCTTCGGTGGTAGGTCCCCCCCCTTCGGTGGTAGGTCCCCCTTCGGTGGTAGGTCCCCCCTTCGGTGGTAGGTCCCCCCTTCGGTGGTAGGTCCCCCCTTCGGTGGTAGGTCCCCCCTTCGGTGGTAGGTCCCCCCTTCGGTGGTAGGTCCCTCCTTCTTGCCCCCCCCCCCCTCACTGTATCTCCACTTAAGGACACATCATCATATGTATGAACTCAAAGCTGAACATATTGAGCACTCGGGTAGAAATGAGAGACTTCAACCATGGCTAAACTGATTGGGAAACGATTGACCCAAGATGGGAAGAAGAGAAATGGAGAGGTCGACCTGCAGACAGTTGAGAGGCGGGTCCAAAGAGCCAGAGCTCAACCCCGCAAGCACAACTAGGCGAGTACACACACTCACCCCTACACGCTGCCTTCAGGAGCACGAGTACGAGGACGAGTGGGGGTATGGAGGAGGACGTGAGAGATACCACGCCCACCAGGTGGCCATGCGCGCCTGCTACGACCTCTGGCGCCGCCACTACAGCGAGACGCCCGCAGACCCCGCCCAGAACCCCGCCCCCAACAGTAAGTAATGAGTCTAGCCCAGCAGAACCCGCCCAGAACCCCGCCCCCCACAGTAAGTACTGGGTCTAGCCCAGCAGAACCCGCCCCCACAGTAAGTACTGGGTCTAGCCAGCAGACCCCGCCCAGAACCTCGCCTCCCACAGTAAGTACTGGGTCTAGCCAGCAGACCCCGCCCAGAACCTCGCCCCCCACAGTAAGTACTGGGTCTAGCCCAGCAGAACCCGCCCCCACAGTAAGTACTGGGTCTAGCCCAGCAGAACCCCGCCTCCCACAGTTAGTACTGGGTCTAGCCCAGCAGAACCCGCCCCCACAGTAAGTACTGGGTCTAGCCCAGCAGAACCCCGCCTCCCACAGTAAGTACTGGGTCTAGCCCAGCAGACCCCGCCTCCCACAGTAAGTACTGGGTCTAGCCAAGCAGACCCCGCCTTCCACAGTAAGTAATGGGTCACGGGCAGAATAAGGTGACTAGAGTAAGGTGGGGTCTAGGGAGAAGCCCGCCAGAGTATAAGGGGGGGGGGAGGACCTTATGTGGGGTCTAGTCCCCCTAGAGAAAGTAAGGAGGGGCTGTCGACGACGGTCCGGCGGGGTGGCTGACGACCCCCGTCTATGGTACACAGTACTCAAGAGTCCCAAGATATCGTTCAAGATATCAGTAAGTCATAACATGGGCGATATCAACGGAGTCAGAATGACTGAGGATGTGACTGAAGGACACTATGAGCACAGGTACAGTGGGTTAGCAACATTTCCGATCATCCCTAAACTCCGGACATGTTACTATGATGTGTGAGTGATTATAATATTAATATTGCAGGTGTTGAGGAGTAGGTCTGAGCGGCAGGAAGTGTCCGTGAAGTAACATTATGTGACCAAAACATGGCCCAACATGAGGCCGTTTCAAATTCCAACTTCTGTAATACGAGGAAGCAAGGGGCAAAGGCCACATTAATGTTACGTATTTTGTCATTTGTATTATAGACAAATCCTAAATGGTTCCCCCAGATATATCGAGCAAGTCCCCGGGCCCGACCAAGTCTTTACCACAACTTTATGAATGTAAAAAAAAGGCTTAGTGAGGCCTCGTCTTGCATGTGTGTAATAAATGACCTGAGTCGTGGAGGGTTGCTAATGTGGTGCCCATTTTTAAGAAGGGCGATAGATGACTTGCGTCGAACTATCGTCTAGTTAGCCTAAAGTCTATTGTACGAAAATTACTTGAATGGAAAATCTCAAAAGCCATTCGTTTCCTTTGAAAGAAGATGGGTTGATAAAGGCTTGACAATTCAGGATTATGAAGGGTCGCTCGCCTTCAACAAATTAGCAGTCATTTGTGTCTAGTACATTTCAAGCAGCTCACAACAGGAAGGACTTCGACATTTTATGTATTGACTTTAACATAGCCTTTGATACTATGCCTCACCAAACTCACTAAAAGTTAGAGGCCCGTGGCACTGGGTGAAGGAGATACCTTAAGTAGGATTACAGCTAGAGTATTTCAGAGACAACAATGACTTAGCATAAACAGACTTAAGTCCGAGTGGAAGACTGTATTAGGTGGAGTGCTCCGGGGTCTACCCTGGGACCTGTGCTGTTTACCATACATTATAAACGATTTATATACAGGATTGAACAGCAACATTTTAAGACTTGCTGGCAACACAACAACAGGGCTGGGACTCAGTTCAGAACAAGACAAAATCGCTTCAAGACAATTTAGAGAGGCTTTTAAGTGGTGCAAAAATATTGGCAGATACGAGTTAATGCTCAAAATGTAGAGTACGAGCTCAGGTAATAACAATAGCGCTCCCAAATATCAGCTAAACAATGTTGCAATTGCGAAGTTTGAATGCGGAAGACACCAATGAGTCGTCATTAATAGCAATCTTAAGCCAAGAACATCAATGCATTTGCTTTATGGAATTAATCAAAACAAGATATTGACAATTATATCTATAAGATATACAAGGAACACATCTAATGATGTTCTTCAGCTTGATCTTGTTCATACTAGGCTCCATATAGATCACGAAGCTTAGTGTTCATGTCTGGATTATAGAAAGAACATGAAATGAATGCGTACAGGGAAGACTGGCAATGGTAAGTCTGGGAATTAGAAACCTTCTGTATGCTGAGAGATTATGAAGGCTTAACTTGCATGCTATAGAAAGACAACGAGCAATGGGTGACAAGACTGAGGTAAATAGATGGATGAATGGGTAGTTAAACAAGGTTTTAAATATATCAACACAAAAAGAACTCGAAACGATAGATATAAATTAGTTATTTTCCGGAAACCTTATCATCTCCCTAACAGGCATTCACTTTCATCCCGCCAGCAACCATACTCACCCCATTATTCCCCGCCAGCAACCATACTCACCCCATTATTCCCCGCCAGCAACCATACCACTAACTTTCCCCTCCCCCAGGCCACCACACTGGCGCCCCAGCTGACATCCTGAAAGTGGATTACGTCGACTTCCGACCTCAAGAGAACGCCAAAGACCACCGGACCTTCCAGTACGACCTGGTTCAGGACCTCGACCGTTCCACCCCGGTCCTCCGCAGGGGACAAGCCTTCCACCTCTCCCTGGTAAGGTGCTGCTCCTACTTGGAGTGCTACTCGACTTAAACCTCCAGCTACTTCATGATGGTCAAGGAGCAAGGGAGGGTTCTAGGAGAAGGAGGAAGAGTGGGGGGAGATGAGAGGGAATATAGGAGAGGGAGGTTCACCGACTGGTCGCCAGTGAACATGTCAGTGCTAAAGTTTGGACTAACATCTTACACAACTTCACAACATAAGGCTAATGAGGCTTGTTAATACTGTGGAAGAAGTCCCTGGTCAGAGCCACTGAGACAAGAGAATAATTATCTCCACTGTGGCGAAATGCCCGACAGACCACTGGAACATTATCTAACACAGTGCACAGTTACAACCACAACAGATCACTGGAACATTATCTAACACAGTGCACAGTTACAACCACAACAGATCACTGGAACATTATCTAACACAGTGCACAGTTACAACCACAACAGATCACTGGAACATTATCTAACACAGTGCACAGTTACAACCACAACAGACCACTGGAACATTATCTAACACAGTGCACAGTTACAACCACAACAGATCACTGGAACATTATCTAACACAGTGCACAGTTACAGCCACAACAGACCACTGGAACATTATCTAACACAGTGCACAGTTACAAACCCATTAAGGTTCCAACTTAGATTCAACAGAGCAGAAGAAGTTGTTAAACACATGGGGCAAAATCTTACTGAAGCGACCATACGAGTCATAAATACTCATACTCCGCCCAAGTAAAACAGAAACAAGCAACACTTAGTGGGCCAGCCAGAGGCTTAGGGCCCGCACAGTGGGCCAGCCAGAGGCTTAGTGCCCGCACAGTGGGCCAGCCAGAGGCTTAGGGCCCGCACAGTGGGCCAGCCAGAGGCTTAGGGCCCGCACAGTGGGCCAGCCAGAGGCTTAGGGCCCGCACAGTGGGCCAGCCAGAGGCTTAGGGCCCGCACAGTGGGCCAGCCAGAGGCTTAGGGCCCGCACAGTGGGCCAGCCAGAGGCTTAGGGCTCGCACAGTGGGCCAGCCAGAGGCTTAGTGCCCGCACAGTGGGCCAGCCAGAGGCTTAGGGCCCGCACAGTGGGCCAGCCAGAGGCTTAGGGCCCGCACAGTGGGCCAGCCAGAGGCTTAGGGCCCGCACAGTGGGCCAGCCAGAGGCTTAGGGCTCGCACAGTGGGCCAGCCAGAGGCTTAGGGCTCGCACAGTGGGCCAGCCAGAGGCTTAGGGCCCGCACAGTGGGCCAGCCAGAGGCTTAGGGCCCGCACAGTGGGCCAGCCAGAGGCTTAGGGCCCGCGCAGTGGGCCAGCCAGAGGCTTAGGGCTCGCACAGTGGGCCAGCCAGAGGCTTAGGGCCCGCACAGTGGGCCAGCCAGAGGCTTAGTGCCCGCACAGTGGGCCAGCCAGAGGCTTAGTGCCCGCACAGTGGGCCAGCCAGAGGCTTAGGGCCCGCACAGTGGGCCAGCCAGAGGCTTAGGGCCCGCAAAGTGGGCCAGCCAGAGGCTTAGGGCCCGCACAGTGGGCCAGCCAGAGGCTTAGGGCCCGCACAGTGGGCCAGCCAGAGGCTTAGGGCCCGCACAGTGGGCCAGCCAGAGGCTTAGGGCTCGCACAGTGGGCCAGCCAGAGGCTTAGGGCCCGCACAGTGGGCCAGCCAGAGGCTTAGGGCTCGCGCAGTGGGCCAGCCAGAGGCTTAGGGCCCGCACAGTGGGCCAGCCAGAGGCTTAGGGCCCGCACAGTGGGCCAGCCAGAGGCTTAGGGCCCGCGCAGGAATATCCCTGCAAACAAAATCTCCACTTCGTAACAGTTGGCCAGCAAGTATCACACTCTGAGGCCTCGCCATGGTGGCATCACACCAGTGCAAGATCCCAATAGCTTAACATAATCTTTTAAACAAAAATGGTCCTCTATGCCAACTTTTTTTTCTGTCATGCTGTGATATCTCCCTCTTCCTCTGCTCTCTCTACACGTGTTCCTAGCATCTAAAACGCCTCTTCCCATCAATAGCACAACTCCAGCACTTAATATTTCTCTCAGGCACTTGATATTTCAAATTAAATTTCTCTCCACACCAAGAGTTAACAGGTGGACCAAGAGTTAACAGGTGGACCAAGAGTTAACAGGTGGACCAAGAGTTAACATGCCCGTCTGGTCGTTGAACAGGTGACGCGGGAGAGGGAGTTCGACTGCACGCGGGACCAGCTGTACCTCAACTTCTACTTCGGGCCCCAACCTTCCGTGCCCAAGAGGACGAGGGTGGTGCTCCCGGTCACCATCCAGAAGGAGTTCACCCGCACCCCTCAGAAGTGGGACGTCCGCATCCAGGCTCAAGAGGGCCACACCCTCACACTCCAGGTGGGCACAAGGGGGGAGGACAGTAGTGAGGGGAGGACAACACCCTCACACTGCAGGTGGGCACAAGGGGGGAGGTGGGGGGAAGAGAGTAGTGAGGGGAGGACAACACCCTCACACTGCAGGTGGGCACAAGGGGGAGGACAGTAGTGAGGGGAGGACAACACCCTCACACTGCAGGTGGGCACAAGGGGGAGGACAGTAGTGAGGGGAGGACAATACCCTCACACTGCAGGTAGGCACAAGGGGGGAGGACAGTAGTGAGGGGAGGACGACACCCTCACACTGCAGGTAGGCACAAGGGGGGAGGTGGGGGGAAGAGAGTAGTGAGGGGAGGACAACACCCTCACACTGCAGGTGGGCACAAGGGGGGAGGACAGTAGTGAGGGGAGGACAACACCCTCACACTGCAGGTGGGCACAAGGGGGGAGGTGGGGGGAAGAGAGTAGTGAGGGGAGGACAACACCCTCACACTGCAGGTGGGCACAAGGGGGGAGGACAGTAGTGAGGGGAGGACAACACCCTCACACTGCAGGTGGGCACAAGGGGGGAGGACAGTAGTGAGGGGAGGACAACACCCTCACACTGCAGGTAGGCACAAGGGGGGAGGTGGGGGGAGGACAGTAGTGAGGGGAGGACAACACCCTCACACTGCAGGTGGGCACAAGGGGGGAGGACAGTAGTGAGGGGAGGACAACACCCTCACACTGCAGGTAGGCACAAGGGGGGAGGTGGGGGGAAGAGAGTAGTGAGGGGAGGACAACACCCTCACACTGCAGGTGGGCACAAGGGGGGAGGACAGTAGTGAGGGGAGGACAACACCCTCACACTGCAGGTGGGCACAAGGGGGGAGGTGGGGGGAAGAGAGTAGTGAGGGGAGGACAACACACTCACACTGCAGGTGGGCACAAGGGGGGAGGACAGTAGTGAGGGGAGGACGACACACTCACACTGCATGAAAGTACACGCCACTCACCTTGCCTTACACAACACGCCACTCACCTTGCCTTACACAACACGCCACTCACCTTGCCTTACACAACATGCCACTCACCTTGCCTTACACAACACGCCACTCACCTTGCCTTACACAACACGCCACTCACCTTGCCTTACACAACACGCCACTCACCTTGCCTTACACAACACGCCACTCACCTTGCCTTACACAACACTCACCTGCCACTCACCTTGCCTTACACAACATGCCACTCACCTTGCCTTACACAACACGCCACTCACCTTGCCTTACACAACACGCCACTCACCTTGCCTTACACAACACGCCACTCACCTTGCCTTACACAACATGCCACTCACCTTGCCTTACACAACACGCCACTCACCTTGCCTTACACAACATGCCACTCACAAAACAACAAGTTGGTGGAAATGAAGAGAGTTGTGATAGTGTTAAGAGCCACTCACAAAACAACAAGTTGGTGGAAATGAAGAGAGTTGTGATAGTGTTAAGAGCCAAGGAACATGACGGCTCCACTTGTGAATAGAGAAAGACAGAGTGACTGTGCCACAGATCCTGGTGGTGATACAGGTGGACAGAGTGACTTGACACAGATCCTGGTGGTGATACAGGTGGACAGAGTGACTGTGACACAGATCCTGGTGGGGATACAGGTGGACAGAGTGACTGTGACACAGATCCTGGTGGTGATACAGGTGGACAGAGTGACTGTGACACAGATCCTGGTGGTGATACAGGTGGACAGAGTGACTGTGACACAGATCCTGGTGGGGATACAGGTGGACAGAGTGACTGTGACACAGATCCTGGTGGGGATACAGGTGGACAGAGTGACTGTGACACAGATCCTGGTGGTGATACAGGTGGACAGAGTGACTGTGACACAGATCCTGGTGGTGATACAGGTGGACAGAGTGACTGTGACACAGATCCTGGTGGTGATACAGGTGGACAGAGTGACTGTGACACAGATCCTGGTGGTGATACAGGTGGACAGAGTGACTTGACACAGATCCTGGTGGGGATACAGGTGGACAGAGTGACTGTGACACAGATCCTGGTGGTGATACAGGTGGACAGAGTGACTGTGCCACAGATCCTGGTGGTGATACAGGTGGACAGAGTGACTTGACACAGATCCTGGTGGGGATACAGGTGGACAGAGTGACTGTAACACAGATCCTGGTGGTGATACAGGTGGACAGAGTGACTGTGACACAGATCCTGGTGGGGATACAGGTGGAAGGAGCGGAAAGTAATGCAGAAACATTTTTAAGGTTGGGTTTTTACAAAAAGGAAATGAACCAATAGATAAGGACAGTGTTCACAAACGAGACCACAAAAGCGGTAATCTTATCCACGATAAAACTTCAGCATGTAACAATAGAGAAATGTTTCCTGCATAGGTACCTTATGAGGGAAGAGGTGCAGGGAGAGGGAGGGAAGAGGTGCAGGGAGAGGGAGGGAAGAGGTGCAGGGAGAGGGAGGGAAGAGGTGCAGGGAGAGGCAAGGAAATGGAAGAATCACAGTCCTCAACTCAGTAACTTTAGAGTGAGTGAGGAACCCACCAACCACAGGCCGGTGTGGAACCCACCAACCACAGGCTAGTGAGGAACCCACGAAACACAGGCCGATGTAGAACCCACCAACCACAGGCCAGTGTGGATCCCACCAACTACAGACCAGTGAGGAACCCACCAACCACAGGCCAGTGAGGAACCCACCAACCACAGGCCAGTGAGGAACCCACCAACCACAGGCCAGTGAGGAACCCACCAACCACAGGCCGGTGTGGAACCCACCAACCACAGGCTAGTGAGGAACCCACGAAACACAGGCCGATGTAGAACCCACCAACCACAGGCCAGTGATGAACCCACCAACCACAGGCCAGTGTGGAACCCACCAACCACAGACCAGTGATGAACCCACCAACTACAGGCCAGTGATGAACCCACCAACCACAGGCCAGTGATGAACCCACCAACTACAGGCCAGTGTGGAACCCACCAACCACAGGCCAGTGAGGAACCCACCAACCACAGGCTAGTGAGCAACCCACCAACCACAGGCCGGTGTGGAACCCACCAACCACAGGCCAGTGATGAACCCACCAACCACAGGCCAGTGATGAACCCACCAACCACAGGCCAGTGTGGAACCCACCAACCACAGGCCAGTGATGAACCCACCAACCACAGGCCAGTGTGGAACCCACCAACCACAGGCCAGTGATGAACCCACCAACCACAGGCCAGTGATGAACCCACCAACCACAGGCCAGTGATGAACAACCCACCAACCACAGGCCAGTGATGAACCCACCAACCACAGGCCAGTGATGAACCCACCAACCACAGGCCAGTGTGGAACCCACCAACCACAGGCCGGTGTGGAACCCACCAACCACAGGCCAGTGTGGAACCCACCAACCACAGGCCAGTGATGAACCCACCAACCACAGGCCAGTGATGAACCCACCAACCACAGGCCAGTGATGAACCCACCAACCACAGGCCAGTGTGGAACCCACCAACCACAGGCCAGTGATGAACCCACCAACCACAGGCCAGTGAGGAACCCACCAACCACAGGCCAGTGTGGAACCCACCAACCACAGGCCAGTGTGGAACCCACCAACCACAGGCCAGTGTGGAACCCACCAACCACAGGCCAGTGAGGAACCCACCAACCACAGGCCAGTGATGAACCCACCAACCACAGGCCAGTGAGGAACCCACCAACCACAGGCCGGTGTGGAACCCACCAACCACAGGCCAGTGATGAACCCACCAACTACAGGCCAGTGATGAACCCACCAACCACAGGCCAGTGATGAACCCACCAACCACAGGCCGGTGTGGAACCCACCAACCACAGGCCGGTGTGGAACCCACCAACCACAGGCCGGTGTGGAACCCACCAACCACAGGCCGGTGTGGAACCCACCAACCACAGGCCGGTGTGGAACCCACCAACCACAGGCCGGTGTGGAACCCACCAACCACAGGCCGGTGTGGAACCCACCAACCACAGGCCGGTGTGGAACCCACCAACCACAGGCCGGTGTGGAACCCACCAACCACAGGCCGGTGTGGAACCCACCAACCACAGGCCGGTGTGGAACCCACCAACCACAGGCCAGTGTGGAACCCACCAACCACAGGCCAGTGATGAACCCACCAACCACAGGCGAGTGAGGAACAACCCACCAACCACAGGCCAGTGATGAACCCACCAACCACAGGCCAGTGAGGAACCCACCAACCACAGGCCAGTGATGAACCCACCAACCACAGGCCAGTGTGGAACAACCCACCAACCACAGGCCGGTGTGGAACCCACCAACCACAGGCCAGTGATGAACCCACCAACCACAGGCCAGTGTGGAACAACCCACCAACCACAGGCCGGTGTGGAGCCCACCAACCACAGGCCAGTGATGAACCCACCAACCACAGGCCAGTGTGGAACAACCCACCAACCACAGGCCGGTGTGGAACCCACCAACCACAGGCCAGTTCTGAACAACCCACCAACCACAGGCCAGTGATGAACCCACCAACCACAGGCCAGTGAGGAACCCACCAACCACAGGCCAGTGTGGAACCCACCAACCACAGGCCAGTGAGGAACCCACCAACCACAGGCCAGTGATGAACCACCCACCATCCATCTCGCCAGTAATCTTCCTATCCAGAACACCACCCCGTCCAACCATCCCATATTGAGTGTTCCCTTCTCATGCCCTTTCTCTTCCTCCCTATCCCACCTATAAGACCCCAACCCCAAGACCCCACCTCCAAAACCCCACCTCCCTGCCCCATACCCCTGGCCCGCCCTGTCCTCAATCCAAAATCCCCCCTTGCCTTCCCGCGTGAAATTATAAGAATTAATAACCCCCTACAACAACTAACCCCTACCCGCACCCCACCTTAACACCCTCCACGTTCCTCCCCTTCACCTGATGCCTCACACTCACCATTGTCTCCCCCTCACCATAGAATATCAACCACTGTGCCTCCTACACCAGGGGGAGGATGAGAGTGAGGCCGCTCATATGAAATTTAACCTGAAAGTAAAGTACTCAAACGTCGATGGGATTACAAATAAAGTAATCAAACTTGGTGAACGTTCACAAGAGACCCGGATGTAACAGCGCACCTGACAATTTCTTTTGAGTGAACTATAACGAATTCAGCATTTCCCCAAGACTACAATGTATTAAAGAAAGGGAAGGGAGAGGAGTGGTTTTGTCGGTAATGAAGGACGGGGGGTTGATTGACAACTGAGAGGCGGGACCAAACAGCCAAAAACCTGTGGTGAATTGTGGTGACCTGTGGTGACCTGTTGTGACCTGTGGTGACCTGTGGTGACTTGTGGTGACCTATTGTGACCTGTGGTGACCTGTTGTGACCTGTGGTGACCTGTTGTGACCTGTGGTGACCTGTGGTGACCTGTTGTGACCTGTTGTGACCTGGCCTGACCCATGACCTCCCTACAGGTACACATCCCAGTGACGTGTCAGGTGGGAGTGTGGCGCTGTGTGGTGGAGACGGCCACCAAGAACTACCCGAAGAACAGGATCCAGTACCGAGCCCCAGAGGATGTCTTCGTCATCTTTAACCCCTTCTCCAGAGGTCAGTGGTCTTGAAGTACTTCCCCAGAGGTCAGTGGTCTTGAAGTACCTCTCCAGAGGTCAGTGGTCTTGAAGTACTTCCCCAGAGGTCAGTGGTCTTGAAGTACCTCTCCAGAGGTCAGTGGTCTTGAAGTACCTCCCCAGAGGTCAGTGGTCTTGAAGTACCTCTCCAGAGGTCAGTCGTCTTGAAGTGCCTCTCCAGAGGTCAGTGGTCTTGAAGTACCTCTCCAGAGGTCAGTGGTCTTGAAGTACCTCTCCAGAGGTCAGTGGTCTTGAAGTACCTCTCCAGAGGTCAGTGGTCTTGAAGTACCTCCCCAGAGGTCAGTGGTCTTGAAGTACCTCTCCAGAGGTCAGTGGTCTTGAAGTACCTCCCCAGAGGTCAGTGGTCTTGAAGTACCTCTCCAGAGGTCAGTGGTCTTGAAGTACCTCGCCAGAGGTCAGTGGTCTTGAAGTACCTCCCCAGAGGTCAGTGGTCTTGAAGTACCTCCCCAGAGATTAGTGGTCTTGAAGCACCTCCCCAGAGGTCAGTGGTCTTGAAGTACCTCCCCAGAGGTCAGTGGTCTTGAAGTACCTCCCCAGAGGTCAGTGGTCTTGAAGTACCTCCCCAGAGGTCAGTGGTCTTGAAGTACCTCCCCAGAGGTCAGTGGTCTTGAAGTACCTCCCCAGAGGTCAGTGGTCTTGAAGCACCTCCCCAGAGGTCAGTGGTCTTGAAGTACCTCCCCAGAGGTCAGTGGTCTTGAAGTACCTCCCCAGAGGTCAGTAGTCTTGAAGCACCTCCCCAGAGGTCAGTGGTCTTGAAGGACCTCCCCAGAGGTCAGTGGTCTTGAAGGACCTTCCCCAGAGATTAGTGGTCTTGAAGGACCTTCCCCAGAGGTCAGTGGTCTTGAAGTACCTCCCCCAGAGGTCAGTGGTCTTGAAGTACCTCCCCAGAGGTCAGTGGTCTTGAAGCACCTCCCCCAGAGGTCAGTGGTCTTGAAGCACCTCCCCAGAGGTCAGTGGTCTTGAAGCACCTTCCCCAGAGATTAGTGGTCTTGAAGGACCTCCCCAGAGGTCAGTGGTCTTGAAGCACCTTCCCCAGAGGTCAGTGGTCTTGAAGCACCTTCTCCAGAGGTCAGTGGTCTTGAAGTACCTACCCAGAGGTCAGTGGTCTTGAAGTACCTCTCCAGAGGTCAGTGGTCTTGAAGTACCTCTCCAGAGGTCAGTGGTCTTGAAGCACCTCCCCAGAGGTCAGTGGTCTTGAAGTGCCTCTCCAGAGGTCAGTGGTCTTGAAGTACCTCTCCAGAGGTCAGTGGTCTTGAAGGACCTCCCCAGAGGTCAGTGGTCTTGAAGCACCTCTCCAGAGGTCAGTGGTCTTGAAGTACCTCTCCCTAGAGGTCAGTGGTCTTAGATCTTGTCTTTATCTAATTGTCCCTTCACCACCACTCCCTCTCACCACCACTCCCCCTCAACACCACTCCCTCTCACCACCACTCCCCCTCACCACCACTCCCCCTCACCACCACTCTCCCTCACCACCACTCTCCCTCACCACCACTCTCCCTCACCACCACTCTCCCTCACCACCACTCTCCCTCACCACCACTCTCCCTCACCACCACTCTCCCTCACCACCACTCCCCCTTCACCACTCTCTCCCCCACCACCACTCTCCCTCACCACCACTCCCCCTTCACCACCTCTCTCCCCCACCACCACTCTCCCTCACCACCACTCCCCCTTCACCACCACTCCCCCTTCACCACCACTCCCCCTCACCACCACTCCCCCTTCACCACCACTCTCCCTCACCACCACCAGATGACGCAGTCTACCTGGAGAACGAGGCCCAGAGGACGGAGTATGTGCTGACGGAGAGCGGGAAGGTGTACCGTGGGGGCTCCCGCTACACACACGGGCGCCCTTGGGTCTACGGTCAGTTCGACGACTGCGTCTTGCCCGTCGTCTGCCTCCTGCTGGAGCGGTCAGGCCTCGCCCACACCGAGAGGGGCAACCCCATCAAGGTCGCCCAGGCCCTCTGCTCTATGGTTAGTAAACCTTCCATCAAGACAAAATATTTGTCAACACAAAAATTGTCGAAAAATACAATTAAAGATAAAGCGTAGAAATGAAATATATTCTCTCCCATTCTTTTCTTACTTGTTAAGAAAAGTACCACACGTACTTTTACGGTACAAACCCGTTCGCGTACCACACGTTCGTACACGAACGGGTTTGGGTGGTGGTGATTGACATTGTAGTCACTGTGTTTCATTAATACCGGCAGTGGGCTCTGGGAAAAGTGGCCATGGGATCGACTCATGTTTGGTGCCAGGGAGCAGAACCGGCCGGTCAGATGCAGAGGGAGAGGGGGTGCTTGCCCCCCCCCTTGGTCCAGGTGACTGCTGTAGATTAAGCCACCCAAGAGGTGGCACGGGCATGAGTAACCCGGAAGTGTTGGTCCAGGAGTGGGCTTCCAGTTCAGTACTCCAATTCCCCAACTTACCAGAGGTAACCTGGAGTTCATAGCGATAAAGTTAACACTTTCCAGTGATTGGATTACTTATGGTATCCTCTATAACCTTTGTAAACCGTTTACATTGGGGGGGGGGGGTGTTTCTTATTTTTTGGGCCAGATCATAGACAATTACCGAGTCATTGGTGATTTGATTGTTGATCATTAGTCTTGGCAAGGTGCACTTCAGTCCTGATCAGAACACTGCAGGAAGGGCCTTATCCCTCTCATAGACGTCTGGACCTCTTCCTGCTGACTTCTCACGAGTCGGGCATTCATACTCGACCTCTGTATGGTAACATCCTCGACCTCTGCATGGTAACATACCCGACCTCTGCATGGTAACATACTCGACCTCTGCATGGTAACATACTCGACCTCTGCATGGTAACATACTCGACCTCTGCATGGTAACATACTCGACCTCTGCATGGTAACATACTCGACCTCTGCATGGTAACATACTCAACCTCTGCATGGTAACATACTCGACCTCTGCATGGTAACATACTCGACCTCTGCATGGTAACATACTCGACCTCTGCATGGTAACATACTCGACCTCTGCATGGTAACATACTCGACCTCTGCATGGTAACGGTGTGGACAGCTCTAACTGTGTGGCGACTCCCTGCTCATCATTCTCTTCGGTGAATGATGAGCAGGGCAGTGAATGGACATTGGCAGATGGACTGCCAGTGTCCATTCACACAAAATGTAAATGGCGCCCCGACAACCATAGACTACAGTGGGTCTTCGTGGAGGAGTGGGTGGCGTGGTTGATCACTGCTTGGTCCATGTTGCACGGGGCGGCAGTAGCACGGTCCGGAGCTGTATGTGCTGTGGACCCCCCACTACAGCCACCCATGAGGCCCCGTGGAGGACCTCAGGATGTAGTAAGGTGAGTCAAGGAAGGTGCATGAGATGAGTGGTGTCGCTCCGGCACACCTTCGCTGAGTTCTGCTGGGTGGATACCACAAATCCTAAGCAAGTCTTCCATGCTGAACGCGAGGCATGACCTGCGTATTACTCTATGCCAACCCCTCTTCGGCTGCCTGGGCCTTTGTATGCTAAATGATGGATCACTATTCACAACTGTCATTCCCGCTTCGGAATGCTAGTGGGAGCACGATGGTGGGGAAGTAAAGCACAGCCAACATGTCCCTGATCACTTTAAGGAGACTGATTCCCATTAGTCCCCTTCGTCCCAGTCTGCTGGATTACTCACCCGGGCCGTGGCATTGTTCACGACGTTGATCACCATTTTAAGCAAATGAAACTGGAAGAGGTCCTGAAGGGCACAGTGCAGAATGTGGACTGCCTTCCAAACAGTCTTCCGGCGGACACCAGCGGATGCTCGTTGTAACCTCCTGGTCGTCTTCACTTCATGCTGGTCTTCTGAAATCTTTCCAAATCCTTGAAAACGTGCACTACTTCTCTTTCGTTCCCCAGACCCAGGCGAGATTCGCCTGTCGCCAGTTCTTACAGATCCATCAGCCTCCTTCCTTGTATTTCTAAATTAATGGGATGCCTTGTTTACTATCATCTGTTGTGGTTCATAGAGACCTCTGAATCTTCAGACATATCCCCGTCAATCCAGAGGGCCTGTCATGCATGCTGAGAGGCAGAACTGGCCCCCTGGCCTTTGTGTATCATCTTTAATAAGCTTCGACGAGGGGGTCCTCGCACACCCATCCTAGGGATCGGTTATAATTCCTTCCTCTCAGTGTATACTCCTCGAATTTGATTGACTGCTTCTTCCTACTGCCAGTGGAACCCAACCAAGGAGAAACATTTATATTGCTAGATGTTTACGAGGCATCTAGTGCGATGTTCCGCAATTGCAAATCTCTCGCCTCACAGTTTCCATTCCGTTCGATGGAGCTGGTGCGGGCAATGGCTGTACTAAATATTAGTCACGGCTTTGCTCCCTGGAGAGGCCACTCCAGAGCACTACGCCATAGTCTCCTGAGACTGATAGATGCCTACTACTAGATTCCTCATAACATGATATCCACTTCATCGGCAACGCCCGCCATTTGCTGGCCCCGTGCAGCCAGGGCTCATCCGATCCACTGGTCGATATCACCATTATGTCGATAACAACACAATTATTATGTGAGGGACGAAGGTGATATTAAATCTGTAATGTTCGTTTGACAAGTATAATCCCCTCACATACCCTGGTATGTATTAGCATGTGTAGCCCCCTCACAGAGTCCAGTATTGTAGCTCTTGCATAGTCTAGTATGTATTGGCGTAGGGGGAAAAGAACTGGTATTTGAGAAAGGATTCTTTGTTTAGCCGTAATTTATGATCTTTGGGTAAACACCACGTGTCCGCCGTAATAGTGGTATGTTAAAACATTATGCCATGTGTGTGTGTAGGAAGTTGATCTCGACTTTAAAGGTGCTGACGAATAAGACCATTTATAGAGTATGGCCGCCTTGTCGGTGGGCCAGAGACCAAACCCTGGAGCCGTAGTGAAATGTTCTATATTAACGTGTCCTATCCCACAACTGCAGAAATAGTAGCAGTAACAGAAATTCTCGCACCTTTTCCCCCAGATCCAAGCGTCTCGCAATCGCAGAGACCACGAGAACGATGCTCGGGCTGGCCTCTTGGAGCCCCACTACGAGGACGAGTATCGCGGGGGTCAAAACCCCCACCTGTGGACAGGCTCAGTCAAGATCATCCAGGAGTTCCTCTTTAACGGTGCCAACCCCGTCAAGTATGGTCACTGCTGGGTGATGGCCTGCCTTATGACGACGGGTGAGTGTTTGGGCGGGTGACGGCCTGCCTCTTGACGACGGGTGAGTGTTTGGGCGGGTGACGGCCTGCCTCTTGACGACGGGTGAGTGTTTGGGAGGGTGATAGCCTGCCTCTTGACGACGGGTGAGTGTTTGAGAGGGTGACGGCCTGCCTCTTGACGACGGGTGAGTGTTTGAGAGGGTGACGGCCTGCCTCTTGACGACGGCCTGCCTCTTGACGACGGGTGAGTGTTTGAGAGGGTGACGGCCTGCCTCTTGACGACGGGTGAGTGTTTGGGAGGGTGACGGCCTGCCTCTTGACGACGGGTGAGTGTTTGGGAGGGTGACGGCCTGCCTCTTGACGACTGTGTTTGGGAGGGTGACGACCTGCCTCTTGACGAGGGGTGACTTTATGAAACACTGACGGCCTGCCTCTTATCCCGGAAAGTGATCACTTCCTTGGTCAACTTACAATGTTACTCAGGCCTTGGGTCTGCGCGTCAGTCTCGTGACGCTCACACTCCCAACACACTTTTGAAACACTCGAGACCACACATATCCCGGACAGTGATCACACCTTGGTCAACTTACAATGTTACTCAGGCCTCAAAACCAACCGTCAGTCTCGTGACGCTCACACCCCAACACTCAGCTTGACACCCTCAAAACCCACCCAACAGAGCACACCCACTGCTCATCACACCCTCAAAACTCGACCCAACAGAGCACACCCACTGCTCATCACACCCTCAAAACCCACCCAACAGAGCACACCCACTGCTCATCACACCCTCAAAACCCACCCAACAGAGCACACCCACTGCTCATCACACCCTCAAAACCCACCCAACAGAACACACCCACTGCTCATCACACCCTCAAAACCCACCCAACAGAGCACACCCACTGCTCATCACACCCTCAAAACCGACCCAACAGAGCACACCCACTGCTCATCACACCCTTAAAATGCAGCTCACTAACCACGCCCACGCCCACAGTGTGCCGTGCCCTGGGTATGCCTGCCCGCCCCACCACCGCCCTTACCTCCGCCCACGAGACGCAGGAGACGCTCACCATCGACCGATACATCGATCGCTTCGGTGACCTCGTAAGTTGACCCGTGTAGCGCAAAGCAAGGATTTAACCCATTATAAACACTAAACAACGCGGTGAAGTTGTATCAGTTTGGGTTAAGACAATAAACAGGCAAACACTGATGCTGAAATAGGGTTGCTGTTATATAGATCAAGTTACCGAGAAACTTAACTGTTAAGCTTCAAACATCATTGAGATAAATGTGAGAGGGAGAGGTTGGATAAGTAGAGCTGCCTTGCCTGGAGCAGTAAGCTCCTGCAGGAAGAGGCAAGGAAGGTGCAACTGACCTTGACGGGGTCTGAGATCCCCGGCGGTTAACCCGGAGGCCTCTCTCTTCCACCCTGTGGGTGAGTAATTTGACCGGAGGAGGTCCTGACGACCTTGTAGGGATGGATGGAGGAGAGGGGATAGAGGGCCTGTCAAGGTTAACCTGTCTTGACCTCCATTTTCCGACAGATCGAGCGTGGACCTGGACGCGACCAGCCCGACTCCCTGTGGGCCTTCCATACCTGGTGCGACGTCTGGATGGTCCGTCCAGACCTGCCATCTGGGTACTCCGGGTGGCAGACCACAGACCCAGCCCGCGCCTACCGCTACAGTGAGTACCAGTCAATGTTTACAGTGCTTGAGCTCCAGCTCCCGGGCCCCGGCAGTGTGTGGCTCAGTGAGGGAGGAGTTAGAAGCACCACAGTGGCTGCATGTTGTATAGAAAGATAAGACCAAAACTCTATCTCTCTCTATAAGGAACTTTGTTAACTGGTCACCCAAGCCATGATCGCCCGGCTCGGGGCCGGATGGAGGCCAGCTCACTCCTCTTCCACTGACGGCTAAAGCTTTTACTTTGGTGTTCCTGCAGAGTTGTGGAGCGGGTGCGGCCCCTCCTCGACGGAGGCTGTGAAGAGGGGCGATGTTGGCTTCTCCCACGACACCAGCGCCATCTTCTCGGCCCTTAACTCCTTCGTCAGATATTACTACGAGGACGACGACTCCGAGTGGGGCTACAGCCCTTACATGCAGCACAGGTGAGCCCTCTCTTGTGGGCGTCCAGCCCTTACATGCAGCACAGGTGAGCCCTCTCTTGTGGGCCTGCAGCACAGGTGAGCCCTCTCTTGTGGGCGTCCAGCCCTTACATGCAGCACAGGTGGCACAGGTCCAGCCCTTACATGCAGCACAGGTGAGCCCTCTCTTGTGGGCCTGCAGCACAGGTGAGCCCTCTCTTGTGGGCCTCCAGCCCTTACATGCAGCACAGGTGAGCCCTCTCTTGTGGGCCTGCAGCACAGGTGAGCCCTCTCTTGTGGGCCTGCAGCACAGGTGAGCCCTCTCTTGTGGGCCTGCAGCACAGGTGAGCCCTCTCTTGTGGGCGTCCAGCCCTTATATGGTTACTTCTTGGTCACACACCACCCTCAGGCTGCACACTAACGCCTCCTCCACACCACCTTCAGGCTGCACACTAACACCTCCTCCACACCACCTTCAGGCTGCACACTAACACCTCCTCCACACCACCTTCAGGCTGCCCACTAACACCTCCTCCACACCACCTTCAGGCTGCACACTAACGCCTCCTCCACACCACCTTCAGGCTGCACACTAACGCCTCCTCCACACCACCTTCAGGCTGCACACTAACACCTCCTCCACACCACCTTCAGGCTGCCCACTAACACCTCCTCCACACCACCTTCAGGCTGCACACTAACACCTCCTCCACACCACCCTCAGGCTGCACACTAACACCTCCTCCACACCACCCTCAGGCTGCACACTAACGCCTCCTCCACACCACCCTCAGGCTGCACACTAACGCCTCCTCCACACCACCTTCAGGCTGCACACTAACGCCTCCTCCACACCACCTTAAGGCTGCACACTAACACCTCCTCCACACCACCTTCAGGCTGCCCACTAACGCCTCCTCCACACCACCTTCAGGCTGCACACTAACACCTCCTCCACACCACCTTCAGGCTGCCCACTAACGCCTCCTCCACACCACCTTCAGGCTGCACACTAACACCTCCTCCACACCACCTTCAGGCTGCCCACTAACACCTCCTCCACACCACCTTCAGGCTGCACACTAACGCCTCCTCCACACCACCCTCAGGCTGCACACTAACGCCTCCTCCACACCACCCTCAGGCTGCACACTAACACCTCCTCCACACCACCTTCAGGCTGCCCACTAACACCTCCTCCACACCACCCTCAGGCTGCACACTAACGCCTCCTCCACACCACCCTCAGGCTGCACACTAACGCCTCCTCCACACCACCCTCAGGCTGCCTGTGTGTCGGTCGGTGGTGACGAAGGCTGTGGGTCGCCATGATGACGACGGTGACGCCGACTGTGAGGACGTCACCAAGATCTACCGTGACCTGGAGCGTTCAGAGCCTGAGAGGTTCACAGTCTTCAACGCGTGCAGAGGCGTGAGGAAGGACCACGTCTACTACCACTACCAGGTGACACGACCACTACCAGGTGACACGACCACTACCAGGTGACACCACCACTACCAGGTGACACCACCACTACCAGGTGACACGACCACTACCAGGTGACACGACCACTACCAGGTGACACGACCACTACCAGGTGACACCACCACTACCAGGTGACACCACCACTACCAGGTGACACCACCACCACCAGGTGACACGACCACTACCAGGTGACACGACCACTACCAGGTGACACCACCACTACCAGGTGACACCACCACTACCAGGTGACACCACCACTACCAGGTGACACCACCACTACCAGGTGACACGACCACTACCAGGTGACACGACCACTACCAGGTGACACCACCACCACCAGGTGACATTACCACTACCAGGTGACACCACCACTACCAGGTGACATTACCACTACCAGGTGACACCACCACTACCAGGTGACATTACCACTACCAGGTGACACCACCACTACCAGGTGACATTACCACTACCAGGTGACACCACCACTACCAGGTGACATTACCACTACCAGGTGACACCACCACTGCCAGGTGACACCACCACCACCAGGTGACACCACCACCACCAGGTGACACGACGACCACCAGGTGACACGACCACCACCAGGTGACACGACCACTACCAGGTTACACCACCACCACCAGGTGACACTACCACCACCAGGTGACACGACCACCACCAGGTGACACCACCACCACCAGGTGACACCACCACCACCAGGTGACACGACCACCACCAGGTGACACGACCACCACCAGGTGACACGACCACCACCAAATGACACCACCACCACCAGGTGACATCAACACTACCAGGTGACACTACCACTACCAGGTGACACTACCACTACCAGGTGACACGACCACCACCAAATGACACGACCACCACCAGGTGACACGACCACTACCAGGTGACACCACCACCACCAGGTGACACTACCACCACCAGGTGACACGACCACCACCAGGTGACACCACCACCACCAGGTGACACTACCACCACCAGGTGACATGACCACCACCAGGTGACATGACCACCACCAGGTGACACTACCACCACCAGGTGACACTACCACTACCAGGTGACACGACCACCACCAGGTGACACGACCACCACCAGGTGACACGACCACCACCAGGTGACACGACCACCACCAGGTGACATGACCACCACCAGGTGACATGACCACCACCAGGTGACACTACCACCACCAGGTGACACTACCACTACCAGGTGACATGACCACCACCAGGTGACACGACCACCACCAGGTGACACTACCACTACCAGGTGACATGACCACCACCAGGTGACACTACCACTACCAGGTGACACCACCACCACCAGGTGACACTACCACCACCAGGTGACACGACCACCACCAGGTGACATGACCACCACCAGGTGACATGACCACCACCAGGTGACACGACCACCAGGTGACATGACCACCACCAGGTGACACGACCACCAGGTGACACGACCACCACCAGGTGACACGACCACCACCAGGTGACACTACCACTACCAGGTGACACGACCACCACCAGGTGACACTACCACCACCAGGTGACACGACCACCACCAGGTGACATGACCACCACCAGGTGACATGACCACCACCAGGTGACACTACCACTACCAGGTGACACTACCACCACCAGGTGACACGACCACCACCAGGTGACACTACCACCACCAGGTGACACGACCACCACCAGGTGACACGACCACCAGGTGACACGACCACCACCAGGTGACACGACCACCAGGTGACACGACCACCACCAGGTGACACGACCACCACCAGGTGACACTACCACTACCAGGTGACACCACCACCACCAGGTGACACTACCACCACCAGGTGACACTACCACCACCAGGTGACACGACCACCACCAGGTGACACGACCACCAGGTGACATGACCACCACCAGGTGACACGACCACCACCAGGTGACACGACCACCACCAGGTGACACGACCACCACCAGGTGACACCACCACCACCAGGTGACACGACCACCACCAGGTGACACGACCACCACCAGGTGACACGACCACCACCAGGTGACACCATCATTACCAGGTGACACTACCACTACCAGGTGACACTACCACTACCAGGTGACACGACCACCACCAAATGACACGACCACCACCAGGTGACACTACCACCACCAGGTGACACTACCACTACCAGGTGACACGACGACCACCAGGTGACACGACCACCACCAGGTGACACCAACACTACCAGGTGACATGACCACCAGGTGACACGACCACCACCAGGTGACACGACCACCAGGTGACACGACCACCACCAGGTGACACGACCACCACCAGGTGACACGACCACCACCAGGTGACACGACCACCACCAGGTGACACGACCACCACCAGGTGACACCATCATTACCAGGTGACACGACCACCACCAGGTGACACTACCACCACCAGGTGACACGACCACCACCAGGTGACACGACCACCACCAGGTGACACGACCACCACCAGGTGACACGACCACCAGGTGACACTACCACCACCAGGTGACACTACCACCAGGTGACACGACCACCACCAGGTGACACTACCACCACCAGGTGACACTACCACCACCAGGTGACACCACCACCACCAGGTGACACGACCACCACCAGGTGACACCACCACCACCAGGTGACACGACCACCACCAGGTGACACGACCACCACCAGGTGACACTACCACCACCAGGTGACACGACCACCACCAGGTGACACGACCACCACCAGGTGACACGACCACCACCAGGTGACACGACCACCACCAGGTGACACGACCACCACCAGGTGACATGACCACCACCAGGTGACATGACCACCACCAGGTGACACGACCACCACCAGGTGACACTACCACCAGGTGACACGACGACCACCAGGTGACACTACCACCACCAAATGACACCACCACCACCAGGTGACACTACCACCACCAGGTGACACCAACACTACCAGGTGACACGACCACCACCAGGTGACACGACCACCACCAGGTGACACCACCACCACCAGGTGACACCAACACTACCAGGTGACACGACCACCACCAGGTGACACTACCACCACCAAATGACACCACCACCACCAGGTGACACTACCACCACCAGGTGACACCAACACTACCAGGTGACACGACCACCACCAGGTGACACGACCACCACCAGGTGACACGACCACCACCAGGTGACACCACCACCACCAGGTGACACCAACACTACCAGGTGACACGACCACCACCAGGTGACACTACCACCACCAGGTGACACCACCACCACCAGGTGACACTACCACCACCAGGTGACACCAACACTACCAGGTGACACGACCACGACCAGGTGACACGACCACCACCAGGTGACACCACCACCACCAGGTGACACCACCACTACCAGGTGAGACAGTAAATAACCTCATCCCCCCCCCCTTCACAGGACCACAACAGTAACCCCCCTCCTCCACAGGACCACAGCAGTAACCCCCCCTCCTCCACAGGACCACAGCAGTAACCCCCCTCCTCCACAGGACCACAGCAGTAACCCCCCCTCCTCCACAGGACCACAGCAGTAACCCCCCTCCTCCACAGGACCACAACAGTAACCCCCCCTCCTCCACAGGACCACAGCAGTAACCCCCCCTCCTCCACAGGACCACAACAGTAACCCCCCTCCTCCTCCACAGGACCACAACAGTAACCCCCCCCCTCCTCCACAGGACCACAACAGTAACCCCCCCTCCTCCACAGGACCACAACAGTAACCCCCCCTCCTCCACAGGACCACAACAGTAACCCCCCTCCTCCACAGGACCACAACAGTAACCCCCCTCCTCCACAGGACCACAACAGTAACTCCCCCCCCCTCCTTCACAGGACCACAACAGTAACCCCCCTCCTCCACAGGACCACAACAGTAACCCCCCCTCCTCCACAGGACCACAACAGTAACCCCCCCCCTCCTCCACAGGACCACAACAGTAACCCCCCCCCTCCTCCACAGGACCACAACAGTAACCCCCCCCCTCCTTCCACAGGACCACAACAGTAACCCCCCCTCCTCCTCCTTCACAGGACCACAACAGTAACCCCCCCTCCTCCACAGGACCACAACAGTAACCCCCCTCCTCCACAGGACCACAACAGTAACCCCCCCTCCTCCACAGGACCACAACAGTAACCCCCCCTCCTCCACAGGACCACAACAGTAACCCCCCCTCCTCCACAGGACCACAACAGTAACCCCCTCCTCCACAGGACCACAACAGTAACTCCCCTCCACCCTCCTTCACAGGACCACAACAGTAACCCCCCTCCTCCTCCACAGGACCACAACAGTAACCCCCCCTCCTCCACAGGACCACAACAGTAACTCCCCCCCACAACAGTCCTTCACAGGACCACAACAGTAACCCCCCCCCTCCTCCACAGGACCACAACAGTAACTCCCCCCCCTCCTTCACAGGACCACAACAGTAACCCCCCTCCTCCTTCACAGGACCACAACAGTAACCCCCCCTCCTCCACAGGACCTCAACAGTAACCCCCCCTCCTCCACAGGACCTCAACAGTAACAGTAACCCCCCCTCCTCCACAGGACCACAACAGTAACCCCCCCTCCTCCACAGGACCACAACAGTAACCCCCCCTCCTCCACAGGACCACAACAGTAACCCCCCCTCCTCCACAGGACCACAACAGTAACCCCCCCTCCTCCACAGGACCACAACAGTAACCCCCCCTCCTCCACAGGACCACAACAGTAACCCCCCCCCTCCTCCACAGGACCACAACAGTAACCCCCCCTCCTCCACAGGACCACAACAGTAACCCCCCCCCCTCCTCCACAGGACCACAACAGTAACCCCCCTCCTCCACAGGACCTCAACAGTAACCCCCCCTCCTCCACAGGACCACAACAGTAACTCCCCCCCCCTCCTTCACAGGACCACAACAGTAACCCCCCTCCTCCACAGAACCACAACAGTAACCCCCCCCCCTCCTTCACAGGACCACAACAGTAACCCCCCCTCCACAGGACCACAACAGAAACCCCCCCCCTCCTCCACAGGACCACAACAGTAACTCCCCTCCTCCACAGAACCACAACAGTAACCCCCCCCCTCCTTCACAGGACCACAACAGTAACCCCCCCTCCTCCACAGGACCACAACAGTAACCCCCCCTCCTCCACAGGACCACAACAGTAACCCCCCCTCCTCCACAGGACCACAACAGTAACCCCCCTCCTCCCCAGGACCACAACAGTAACCCCCCTCCTCCACAGGACCACAACAGTAACCCCCCCCCTCCTCCACAGGACCAGGGCAGCTATGATGTGGAGTTCGTGCTGGAGGAACCGAAGCAGGTGACCGCCGGCCAGAGTATTAACGTCGTCCTGCAGGTCCACAACAACACCTCGGAGACCCGCACCGTGCAGGCCAACGTCTCCACCAGGTGGGCCCTCCTCCTCTCTCACAACCTGGCCGCGAGACCGTTTACACCGGTCTAACATGGTCCAGTAGACCGGTCTAACATGGTCCACTAGACCGGTCTAACATGGTCCAGTGGACCGGTCTAACATGGTCCACTAGACCGGCCTAACATGGTCCACTAGACCGGTCTAACATGGTCCACTAGACCGGTCTAACATGGTCCAGTAGACCGGCCTAACATGGTCCACTAGACCGGTCTAACATGGTCCAGTAGACCAGTCTAACATGGTCCAGTAGACCGGTCTAACATGGTCCAGTAGACCAGTCTAACATGGTCCAGTAGACCGGCCTAACATGGTCCACTAGACCGGTCTAACATGGTCCAGTAGACCAGTCTAACATGGTCCAGTAGACCGGTCTAACATGGTCCAGTAGACCGGTCTAACATGGTCCAGTGGACCGGTCTAACATGGTCCAGTGGACTGGTCTAACATGGTCCACTAGACCGGTCTAACATGGTCCAGTAGACCGGCCTAACATGGTCCACTAGACCGGTCTAACATGGTCCAGTAGACCAGTCTAACATGGTCCAGTAGACCGGTCTAACATGGTCCAGTAGACCGGTCTAACATGGTCCAGTAGACCGGCCTAACATGGTCCACTAGACCGGTCTAACATGGTCCAGTAGACCGGCCTAACATGGTCCAGTAGACCGGTCTAACATGGTCCAGTGGACCGGTCTAACATGGTCCAGTGAACCGGTCTAACATGGTCCAGTAGACCGGTCTAACATGGTCCAGTAGACCGGTCTAACATTGTCCACTAGACTGGTCTAACATGGTCTAGTAGACCGGCCTAACATGGTCCAGTAGACCGGTCTAACATGGTCCAGTAGACCGGTCTAACATGGTCCAGTAGACCGGTCTAACATGGTCCAGTAGACCGGTCTAACATTGTCCACTAGACTGGTCTAACATGGTCTAGTAGACCGGCCTAACATGGTCCAGTAGACCGGTCTAACATGGTCCACTAGACCGGTCTAACATGGTCCAGTAGACCGGCCTAACATGGTCCACTAGACCGGTCTAACATGGTCCAGTAGACCGGCCTAACATGGTCCAGTAGACCGGTCTAACATGGTCCAGTGGACCGGTCTAACATGGTCCAGTGAACCGGTCTAACATGGTCCAGTAGACCGGTCTAACATGGTCCAGTAGACCGGTCTAACATTGTCCACTAGACTGGTCTAACATGGTCTAGTAGACCGGCCTAACATGGTCCAGTAGACCGGTCTAACATGGTCCAGTAGACCGGTCTAACATGGTCCAGTAGACCGGTCTAACATGGTCCAGTAGACCGGTCTAACATTGTCCACTAGACTGGTCTAACATGGTCTAGTAGACCGGCCTAACATGGTCCAGTAGACCGGTCTAACATGGTCCACTAGACCGGTCTAACATGGTCCAGTAGACCGGCCTAACATGGTCCAGTAGACCGGTCTAACATGGTCCAGTAGACCGGTCTAACATTGTCCACTAGACTGGTCTAACATGGTCCAGTAGACCGGTCTAACATGGTCTAGTAGACCGGTCTAACATGGTCCAGTAGACCGGTCTAACATGGTCCAGTAGACCGGTCTAACATGGTCCAGTAGACCGGTCTAACATGGTCCAGTAGACCAGTCTAACATGGTCCAGTAGACCGGTCTAACATGGTCCAGTAGACCGGCCTAACATGGTCCAGTAGACCGGTCTAACATGGTCCAGTAGACCGGTCTAACATTGTCCACTAGACTGGTCTAACATGGTCCAGTAGACCGGTCTAACATGGTCTAGTAGACCGGTCTAACATGGTCCAGTAGACCGGTCTAACATGGTCCAGTAGACCGGTCTAACATGGTCCAGTAGACCGGTCTAACATGGTCCAGTAGACCAGTCTAACATGGTCCAGTAGACCGGTCTAACATGGTCCAGTAGACCAGCCTAACATGGTCCAGTAGACCAGCCTAACATGGTCCAGTAGACCTACTGCTATTAACCATTTTCTGATGCTTGACATGTCCTGGTCTGGTCCTGCAGGAGCGCCTTCTACACCGGGGTGTTGGGGTCACACCTGAAGAGGGTGACGGGCCAGTTCACCCTCGCCGGGGGCCAGAAGGACACCCTCACCCTCAAGCTGGACGCCTCAGAGTACCAGGACCGCCTCGTCGACATGGGCTTCATCAAGGTCACCGCCTCGGGTCATGTCTCCGAGAGCAAACAGTCCTACGTCGACGAGTTCGACTTCCAGTTTGAGAAGCCAAGGATGAGCATCGAGGTACTACTCGTGCAACAATTTGTTATATTCGTTTAAAGGTTCCAAGTGTAAAGATCACACAGCTTGTACACACAGAACACAGCCATCCGCGGGTGTCGATGTTATCTTGTTTTTAACTCAGTTTTTCCTGTCACATTTAACTTGCGTGTCTTCGCCCACAGGTGCCAGAGTGCCAGGTTGGGCAGGAGTGCAAGGCCACCTTCACCTTCAGCAACCCGCTCGACGTGGCCCTCACCGACTGCTTCTTCAGCATGGAGATCGGGGGCGCCTACCGGCCCAGGACCGTGAGGGTGACTCGGGAGGTCCGGCCGAGGGAGACCTTCACCTACAGCTACACCTTCGTGGCCCGCAGGTCAGGAGACCACCGCTTGGTCGCCTCCTTCGCCTCCCGCCAGCTGCACGACGTCACTGGCTCCCGCAAGTTAACCATCCGGGACTAGAATTGCTTCGCTTTGTTATTGGTTCCTGGGCGTTGCCATAATTGACTGCACGATTCAGCAATATAGATGAAAACAGGTGATCAAACATATGATAGCCTTGAAGATCAGCTTTTCACTGGTACGGAGTCGGGGTATACTGAAGCCGACGGCTATCTGAGTCACTATAATGACGCTCACAATGCAATATGCCCTCCGCCTGCAATACTACTTGTATAAAACAACTAACCAATAACATACGGTTACCCTGGCAACAAGTGCAGCTGACTATATTGCTCTCCATATTGACCCAGACGACGACTGTACGCTAGTTCCCGGACATGGACGGTCTGGGCGGAGTTCCCGCCCAGTCACACCGCGTAGAAAACGGCAAGTGTCTAGAGCAGCCTCGGCTTTTGCAAATAAAAAATCAAGTAAAACCAGAAAAAATAAATCTTAAAAGCTTGGAGATATGGCTATGTGGACGTTCATCTTGTGCACATGTCTAAACACAAGGGAATTATATAAGAACAGCAAGGGAGTGGCCTGAAAACTGCTGTATTTCATATCTAATTTTCTTCCAAACCTTAGAGGCGTAACCTTCCCACCAGCCCCCATATCTCTGATTGAAGATAACAAAACCTATTATGTTAAGTCTTGGTGTTTGTCGTAGTAAGACTATGGTTGTGGGTCACTAGTTTTGTCTTACGGTAATAGAAGTAATTGTTGAACGGAACACAAATATACAACCATTGTAATAGCCTGAGAGCCTATTGTGTTTTCCCTGGCCCGAGTTACTATATGCTTCTGCTTCACTTGTCATGAAGATGACGCCAAAGTGATCTTGAGATGGAGTGTAAAAATAGATAATCCAATAAACATCTGGAGCAATCTTTTAAGGGTTTGTTTCAGCCTTGTGTACTTGTTTGTGGGAACCGACCTGTGAGATTTATATTTATTTAATTTATATGAATTTATATAGAATTTATATTTACGTTAATTTGTATACTTCTTGTATGATGTTAAGTGGACTGTATTTCTGCAATAATCTCACAAATCGATCCTCTACACATTAGGGGGGGGGGGGTTATATTGAATTTATATATATGCAGTCAATCAAACTACAGTATTAAACTACATATATTGTTAAACATTGAAGAGGTTCCTTATCTTATTGTACAGCAGGCCTTAGTTCACCAGATATAACTAGGATGTAGACACCGAATTATCCTCTTTGAGGTAGCTTCCATCACCCAGTAACTGGTACACAAAGCATGCTTCCTCGTCTTGACCTGTCAAAAGGGCGCTAGCTATAAAGCCAGAATCCTAATATATGACAGCTATATCAGAGAAAACACTGTACATTGAACCGTAAAGACCTAGGCTTAATTACCTTTTATTAAGAGACAGTTCGTATTCTAACCAGCTCGCCCTTTATATCTACCTAATATTCATGGCCACAAATAATTAGATAAACGAGTTTCGGCAGAACACTTAACTTGCATTTGTTGACAGCGTGTTGATGATGGTACACCTTTGGTTTCCATAACACTTCGTCCAAGTAAAATTAACAGGAGCCGAATTGCTCCCGTGCCTCTGGTCTAAGTACAATAACAATGGCTGACCACTCCCTCCTCACTGACGCTACTCGCCTACATTATCCAGATGACAGTAAGTAATAGAAGGGTCACATTTACTCTATTTTAATTCTGATAATTAAGTTAATTTATATGAGATGTTTTTATGATGGTAAAGTCCAAAGACTAATGTATTTAAGAATAATTCCCACCATAATAGGTGGTGAATTTATAATAGTATGTGGTAATGATATCCCATTTTCTATAGATGGAAATTCCACTACAAGTTACATTTTCTATGGGTTAACTTGTTTATACAACACAGCAATATTATCTGCCTGTATGATATTATTAAATGGTGTCAGATTTTCCGACATAATTCCCCAGGGGGCTGCTCACGGGTCGAAGTCCTATTTAGAACAGACGAACACCGATACTCCTCCTTCGGATTATTAGATTAATTTGATGTTAGAAGTTAGTAATCACACATTTGTGCGTCTGTTCGTACAGGACGGATGTCCCGTACTAGAGTTGCAGAGGTTAGAAGTCTAATGCGATTTCATTTCCCTGTTAACTCTTGAAAGGCTAAAATTCAAGCCTAATTACATATTATTTAACCCAGAAGATTGAATGTGATCAAGTACTACATTCAAGTATGATTCAGGGACTGCAGTGAGATCAGTGACATTAGATATAACTTGAAGTTTGTTCAGGTAACTGGTCACTGATATATAAACACTGAGGCCCATGGAATACATCTTGATTAAATAATAAATGTATCAAATCAGTCATCAGATTTATTGGGGTTTAATTTAGTTAATTCAGAGGATTGAATAGTTCAACATTAAAGTCAAGTATGGTTCTAAGACTGCAGTGGGTTCAGTGACATTGGTCGCAATGACTTGTAGCTGTTTAGGCTACAATTCACTGATTAGCCACTGAGGCCTCATGAACTCATCTTCAGCTTTAAATAATGATATTAACATTAACCTCTGTTGCTATAGTCAGCTGTAATCTCTTTAGAATAATGCTACTGCAGATATATAATCAGCTGACAAATTTAGATTTCTACTGGTATTGTTTATCTGCAGGCATAGGTCTCCTCTGGCTTAATACTGGCCCTGAGAGTAATTTGCCTCCTGCAGAATTTAGCATGGTTATGCCCTGATATTTAGTAGGGCTACCGATGAATCGATGGTAGTAGTCTGTACCTACAAGGATACCGAAGGCGGTGAGGTGATCAGACTTAATATTACCTGCCAATTTTATTCCTCTATTTCTCAGGAATTTGGCTGTTGCTCTCAGACCTTGAACTTGTAGGTCTGCTGGTATTTTGTCCACCACAATGGCTTGTACTTGACAGACGTACCTGCCTAAACGTACTGATGGTTGTACCACCTGGTAGACTTGAGGTCCTGCATCTGTTAGAAACCCTGAGATGTTGATTGTCGTCTGGGCTATAGGCCTTAAATGTACTTCATCTGCCAATCTTTTAGTGATACATGTTCTCTGGGACCCTTGGTCAAACAACCCTCGGGTATGGACCTTGGCCCTCTTATTCTGGATGGTAATTTGTGCAGTAGGCAGAGTCGCATCTCTTTTGGACTCTGCCGATTGGACACTAATTTTCTCTCGCACTTTGCAAAACTGTACTGTGGTGGGAATGCTATCTTCCACCTTGGGTCTTGAATATGTTTATTTCGTATGTTTGCACAGTGCTGCATGGTGCCTACCTCTTCTACACCTGTTGCAGGTGTTGAATTGGGTATCACAATAGTCTATGTTGTGTGACTTGAGACACCTTGCACATCTCCCTAATTCCTGGAGTCGCTCCATACGAATGTCTCTGGTTGGATAATTAGCACAACAGTATGTTGAATGTTTCTTTTTGCAGAACATACATGTCCCCCAGCCTACTGCACGTTTGGAAGTTACCGGTTTGGGTGAACTAGTAACAGTAGGCTTGGAGGATTCTGCTGCATTACCAGATTTTCTGCAATTAGATGTGAGAGTACTTGGTTGATGTTTATTTAGGGTAGTTGTTTTACCCTTTAATTGACTATTATTTTCTATTCTGAAGGCTCGCAAGAGTCTTTAACTACCTCATTTGCTCGTCGTTTGTCTATGATGGAATATAAAACTTCAGTGATGTCCTGTACTGTCAGGATAGTGTTATGTTGATGTGCATAATTCATCTAGTATATCACTGGACAATTTTCGTTGAAGTACTACTTTGGTCATCCATTCACTAGTAGTTATATCAACCTTAAGACAATGTTCTTAGTAGTGACTCAAACTCCATGCTGAAGGATTGTAATGAGTCAGCAGTCTGATCAGGTTGAGGTAAATCCAGCAATTGTAGTACTAGATGTATGACAGTTTTCTCATTGCCAGCATTATTCCTAGGAGGCTGGACTGGGAAATTAGTGCTGTCGCTATTTTCATTTACATTTTCTACTACTGGTTCAGCTTCACCTCTAGCTTGGAGGCATGTTAACTTAGTAGCCTCAGGTATTGGGTTTTCAGAATCCACAGAGACTGTGGATAAATTGTCTGAGAACTTTAATTTCTGGTGGTATAATATTGGGTGATGCTGTAGTGGGTGAGGCTTTATCCTCGTTGATTAAAGGATCTAATCTCACTTGACATTTATTCTCAAAAAGATCCAGATCATCCATAATATTAACTACTTTATTTGATGTACTTGCTATTGGTTCTGATTCAATAATCCTGTGTAAGTACTCCAACCTGGCTTGAGTTTCTTCTTCATATTGTGCTAGGTCTGTCATACTGTCGTCTATTTCTGTTTCTGATAAATTGGTGTTGGCAAGTTCAGACACATATGTTGCTACTTGGCATTTGATTTGCTCAAATTTACCTGCAGCTGCTTGATAATAGCTTTCCAGGTCAGCATAATCAACTGGAGATTGTGACAAATCTTCACATTTCTTGATCTGTCTTGTTAAGTGGCCTTTAAGACCTGCAAGGGTTCTTTTCATTCTCCCTGCATTATCCATACTGGCTAGTTGGTGAAGCCTTGTTGGGCTTGTACTTGGGTTGCTCATAATGCTGAACAAGTACTAATGGTAGCCTAGGGTATCTGCTATCACTAGGCTATAATCCTACCTCTTCTAGAGGTTAGCACTTATAATTAATACACATTATATATATATATATATATATATATATATATATATATATATATATATATATATATATATATATATATATATATAAGGCACAACTCTCCTATACACGAGAGTCAAGTATACAACTTTAGAACACTTTCCCACCAGGAGACTCGAACCCTAGCCAGCACAGAAGCCTTCCAGCAACTGGCATAACAGGTACGCCTTAACCCTCTTCACCACCTGCTCAGACCCGTAAAAGAGATGGTAATTTCGGAGTATTTAAATACCACAAAGATCACCACCTCCCAAGAGCACTAGAGCAAGTGAGGGGTCATTTAGACGTTAATTTCATCAAGTCCCTGTTAATATGGGAAGACACAGTGTCTATGCTTAAGGCACAACTCTCCTATACACGAGAGTCAAGTATACAACTTTAGAACACTTTCCCACCAGGAGACTCGAACCCTAGCCAGCACAGAAGCCTTCCAGCAACTGGCATAACAGGTACGCCTTAACCCTCTTCACCACCTGCTCAGACCCTTAAAAGAGATGGTAATTTCGGAGTATTTAAATACCACAAAGATCACCACCTCCCAAGAGCACTAGAGCAAGTGAGGGGTCATTTAGACGTTAATTTCATCAAGTCCCTGTTAATATGGGAAGACACAGTGTCTATGCTTAAGGCACAACTCTCCTATACACGAGAGTCAAGTATACAACTTTAGAACACTTTCCCACCAGGAGACTCGAACCCTAGCCAGCACAGAAGCCTTCCAGCAACTGGCATAACAGGTACGCCTTAACCCTCTTCACCACCTGCTCAGACCCTTAAAAGAGATGGTAATTTCGGAGTATTTAAATACCACAAAGATCACCACCTCCCAAGAGCACTAGAGCAAGTGAGGGGTCATTTAGACGTTAATTTCATCAAGTCCCTGTTAATATGGGAAGACACAGTGTCTATGCTTAAGGCACAACTCTCCTATACACGAGAGTCAAGTATACAACTTTAGAACACTTTCCCACCAGGAGACTCGAACCCTAGCCAGCACAGAAGCCTTCCAGCAACTGGCATAACAGGTACGCCTTAACCCTCTTCACCACCTGCTCAGACCCTTAAAAGATATGGTAATTTCGGAGTATTTAAATACCACAAAGATCACCACCTCCCAAGAGCACTAGAGC